AAGTGGAAGGTCTGCTGTTCCGTGAGAGGCTGTGATTCCTGCACGACGCCTTTGCCACTTCAAGGCTCGTGCCCCCCAGGGCACACCGCAGGACGCCCGAGAGTGAGGCTCTCTTCCCGGAATGCCAGCAGAAGCGGGCCCTCTTCCATCTCTCAGGCGGCCTGATCCTGCACGGGTGACACCAGGGAATGTCACAGGGAGCGTGCAGTTTATCGATGCGGGCGCTGGGGCCCAAGGAGGGAAGGTGGGTGGCCCAGCCGTCACGCGGTGGCGGAGCTGGGACCCGAGCACCTGCCTTGGGCTCCCGGAGTCTCAGAGATGCTTCGACGCGTCCTCTCGATGTCGGCATAAACCTTGAGGCTCGCTCACAAGGAGCCAGGATGCACAACCTGCGGCGGAATCTACCAGCTGTGGCCGGATGACAGCGATGCTTTTGATAAAAGTCTTCTCCACCCCCATGATCTGGGACCTCGACCCCGCTCGCCCTTTCCCAGCCTGCGCTGCTTCTCCAGAATCCTTGCACATGAATTCGCACTTGCATCAAGGTCTCCCGTCCCTTACTTCCACCTGCTGGGAGGAGGGTCAGCCAGGGGACCTATAATAACCCGTTTCCACTCTCTGCTCCCATGATGCTAATTTGACGCCAGGGGATCCTCATGCCTCGCCGTCACAAAGACGCAATTTCATCCATGAATGAGTCGATGTGGAATGGGAGGACCGGGAGGAGGAGGAGGGTGGCCACGTGTTCCTGACTCCTCTCAAGTGGTTTCTCGTCTCATGGTGATACAGATCAGGGACCGCGGACGATGGTGACGAGCTCCTAAAGCACCAGCTGCTCACCAACAGGGCCACGGGCTCGTTTTCTTGGCGAGTAGTTGGTGCCGATCGCAGAGGATGTCCGGGACCTTGAAATGTGCTGTGTCCCTGCCAGAGACCTTGAACTTGAGCTCCACACCGTCGTCCAGATGACGCGTGCCATGCGTGTGGCCGAGGGACGCGAAGTAGAGCAATTAGACTCAGTTGCTGCAGGGGGAGGACGCATCCTTAATTGGAGCGCATCACAGGCTTCCGAGAAGCGGCCACGGTGTCCACGGCGACTCCCGACACATGACAGGCAGAGAGGAGCGTATCTGGAGCCAGAGGTCATTCTCGCGGGCAAGTGACAGGCCTGGTGACCCGAGGAGAGGGAAGGGCGCTCAGCCACGCCGCAGCACCTCAATGGGGATTCTGTTCTCTGTCGCCAGCCCTAGTCTGCAGATGCCTCGGGGACCCTGAAGGAGGGGGACCGAGCCCCTGGCGGAGACCTTGTAGCATCTCCTCCCCGCGGAGGAGCGAAGCACCAGCAGCCGGCTCGGTTGGGCAGAAAAGGAGCATTTTGCAGAGGAAACGCGGCGAAGTGTCACAATGGGAGCCCGGGAAGCACAAGTACATCTCGCCTCCTTGACAAATAAGACGTAATTAGGGACTGGTCCTGCTGGGAAACAAAGGCTCGTCCGTGCCCGGCTGGGGAAGCGACAGGCCGAGCATCTCGTAGAAACACAGCCGAGCGTGGGGCCCTTCATTATTCACAAACGGGCCTGCAACGGGCCTCGTGCCCCCCGAGTCTGTTCTCTACGAAGTCATCCGTCCACCCTGCGAGGAGCGCAGAGGAATCAGGGAGGCCCGGGCTCACCCCCACCAGCAATTCGAATGATTCTCAGGTTTCGCAGGGGTGCAAACCGTGACACCGAGGTGCTTTGCACACAGATGCAGCTGTGACTCCTGGGCCGCGCCAACAGTCGCCCGGGAGGGATCTGAACACCGGCCCCGGGCGCTCGCCAGTCGACGCCCCCAGGCTGGTCCTTGCGCTCGGAGCCGTGGCCCCCCTGACTCCGCACACGTCCCGAGGCCTCTGCTCGAAGCCCTGCATCCGACGTGGCCCCAGAACAAGACAGCGCTGCTGACACTCCAGACCCCGGCCGCCCGCGCCGACTTCCCGGCTCACTAGTTCTGGCCCCCGCGCGGGTTTTCTCTGAGATGTGACCAAGGCCCTGTAACAAGCTCCGCCGTCCCACCCAGGCTCTCGCTGTGACACAGGCTATGATGGGGAATGAGGAGGAAGACGAGAGGCCCAGACCAGGAAAGCATCCCGTTATAACTGGGACCATCCAAGGAGGCCAATCTGATCCCAGCCACACTCCTGCTTCAAACCCTCCAGAGGGCCCTCAGCCCTACAGTCGGCCCAAACTCCCACAGGTGCCTGCCCCTCACCAGATCCACCCCCCCCAACCCAACCCTCACAGGGTCCACGGGGTCCCGGCCACACTGGCCTCTCCTCTGCCCTTGGACTCACCTGGCACCTCAGGGCCTTTGCACATGCTGTTCCCTCCTCCTGGACTATCTACCCTACCTCCAGTCCCATACCTAGTTACCTGCAGCCCATCTGTCATCTCAGATGAAACCTCACCTCCTTGGGGGACTCTTCTGTGTCTCTCATCAGCCCACACTCTGGCCCAAGGCTCAGGTCTGGTCCCCCAAAGCCCCTCTCATGATGCCATGTGCCGTTCCTTCCCAGCAAGGACCCCACATGATGACATGAGGTCTTTATTATGTGAGCATGATCCAAACAGATAAAACGGCAATAGTAGGCAAATCCAGTTAACTTGGGTACCAAAGTTTCACAGCACATGTTTGTGATATACTTAACCAACAGTCACCGGGGATTCAGTTCAGGCCAGTACTGCTCTCAGGACTCCACACACATTATAGCATTGAATCCTCCACCCCCTAGGCAGTGTGATTACTGTCCCATCTCACAGATGAGGACACTGAGGCACAGACAGGAGGCCCAGCTAGCAACTGGCAGAGGAGGCCCTGTTCTCAACCCCCTCCTCTGAACAAAGCCTTCATCTAGAAAAATGCAACTACATTTGACAGAAAAATAAGTTTTTATCTCATATTTAACAACTTCCGGGTGATAGTGGCAGATGTGCCCTAATTCTTAGAGTAATAATCAAAAAGAGTCAAGCACTAATTTTTTGCATAGTGTTTCTGATAGACTGTAGCACAGTCTCTACCCCTCCCTCCAGGTTTGGCTTCCACAGCCTGGTCGGAGGAGAGTCCTTCCCAACCAGCCTCGGGTTCTGGGAGCCCCCAGGGCCTCTGCTGGCCCTCAGGGTGGGTTCTCCCTGAACAGCCTGCCCCCCTCGGCCCCCGGGCTTCTCTCCTCCAGGGTTAACTGGCCTGAATCTGCCCCTTCCTCCTCCTCTGTGACTCTGTGGGCGCTGGGTGGGGAGATGTGCGAGCCCACCACGGCCCCAGGGTGGCCCCCGCCCTGATGCCTCCCTGGGAACCCCCTAGAGGGGACCCGCCTGGTCACTCGCACCCACGGTGTGCAGAGGACAGCAGCTCGGAGAGCCGGTCGTGGAATGTTCAGGACGTTCACTACCTGCTAGCTTGGAATCGGCCTGGCAGGATTGACAGCCCGGAAACCAGCACCTGCTACCAACCAGGGCAATTCACTCCTAAAGCACTGGGGGACCAGCTCACCCCTGGGGTCGCAGCTCCGGCACAAGCCTGACTTCTGGGTGCAAACCCTGCTGTCAGAGCTGGGCTCTCCCCGCAGCGACCAGACCCGGGCTCTCCCCTCTCCCCCACTTCCCTGGAAGGGGATTGCCAGCCCCAGAACCGCGGTGGTGCTGAGACCACTTCTCTCCCCAGCACCTTCCAGAAGGAAGGACAGAAACTGGTCGGGAAGGGCTGCTGCCTCTCGACCTTGGACTGAGAGTCATTTCGGATGCTTTCAATCATCGAGAAATCCCTCGCTTTAATTTGTTCATCAAAGATATTTTTATTTTTCCTTCCTGAGATGTTGATTTGGTTCCTTTTTTAGTTTCTTTGTCCATGTGGGAAGTAAATCGCGAACTGCCTGAATGTGGAATGTAGTTAGTGGAGCTGCCTTAATTGGCTAATTTGCTTAAATCTCTACCGGAGCGCAATCAGAAAGTGTCTTAGCAAACGTGTCCTTTCCTTCCCGGGCTGCGGGGCATGGAGGGGGGTGGGCTGGGGAGGGCTGGATGTACCCCCCCATTCACCCTAAATAAAATATCCTAATTTTCACGGGCCCACCACTGCATCGTAGTGCAGAAGGCGGAGGCCTGCAGGCCTCATGAGCTCTTCAAATCAAGGAGGAGCCACTTAGTCTCTGCCCGTGGAACTGTGAGTTCCAGCAGGTGCGGACCAGGGGTCTGAAGGCTGCACCCAGACCAGCCCCGCTGCCCCTCACGGCTCACCCACAGGCTTCGACCCCAGGGGCCTCCCTCCCTGCTGTGAGGACGGGGGTGGGCCCCCTGATGGGAAAGTGCCAGGGCTTCCTCTGAACAGGTACCAGGCAGAGGGGGACCGTGCTCCCAGACTTGCCCTCTGGGCCAATGTGCAGCCGAGGGGAGAGCACCAGGCGGCCTTTCCGGACTCAGCCCCAAGGACCCAGCCACCCTGCTACAAAGCTCTCTGATGAACAGTAACCTGTGCTCAGGATGTTAACAATCGCTGGGTTCAGGTAGCTTTTGACCTCTCTCCTATGACTAATTGGCTTAATCATATTTCTTTCCCAGCACCTGAATCTGAGATGACAGGTTTTTACCAGGGACGGGCCTATGACTTCTCTCAGCCTTGATTTTCCCGTCTTTTGTGAGTTGTTGGAATCAGACAAATAATGTGGGAAGAAGGACCTGACACAGCACTTGGTTCAGACATTTGATTAACAAATTGCCGCCTTCAGGCCTTCGCCCCTTCTCCCTCTTTTCCTTTCTACCTATTTTTTCCTGAATAAGAGGGAATAGTTCTCCAAATCTGTCTATATTTTACACTTCGGAGATTAGAAAAAAAAAAACAAAATAAAACCCCACAAACCCAGTCAGGTCCTTAAATCACAGCATGAGAAGTACCCAAAGGATGTTTTCTTAGGGCAGGATGGGAGTCCAGCTGCCCGCAGTCTGGACCACAATTCTTGTCCCTTCTGAATCTTTTTGCCTTGTTTTATTTTATTTTTCCCAACTTTTTTGGTAAATGTCCACCCGAATGAAAAGTTCAGAGTAGCACAGTGAACATCCTTATATCCTTCACCTAGACTCTCCAGCTGACAACCCCAAGCCAGGCCACATGTGGTCACCCCGTCCACAGGCGCTAGTGCGTGCGTGTGTGTGTGTGTGTGTGTGTGTGTGGTTTTCCTTTTCTGGCTAAATCACTTGAGATGATGGTGTAAAGATCATGAGATTTCATTTCTAAAACCTGCAGTGTGTGTCTCCTAAGGAAAAAGACATTTTCCTACAGAATGTCGGTCCCGTTTTCACATCCATGCTAGTCAATGCCAACACAGTAACACAGTCTAACATACAGTCTGGATTTCGTGCTTTCCTTTCTTCATCTCAGGATCACACGTGGCAGGCATTTAGCTCTCCTGATCCTTTCATTCTCCTTAATATAGAACAGTGTGCCATCACTCGTCTCTTAGGATGTTGACCTTTCCTGAACGTTCTGGGCAGGTATTTTATACCAGAAAGCTGAGAAGTACTCACAGGAAGAAGGGAACAAATAGAAAGGCAGAAAAAGCTATGATGAAAGAGCTTCTATTAGACAAACGTAAAAATATTTGGCTATAAAAAATGTGTGGAAAGAAATATGAACACACTGAGTTAAAAAAAAAAAAGAAAGAAAGAACCTATAAGTTCATAGTGATACTGAATGATTATTGGGACCAGGGAAGAATACATCTATTTGTTGTGTTCTTCTCCTGAGCAAACCAGTTAGTCTGGTTAAAAAAAAAAAAAATCCGAGGGCATCAGCCCAACGCCCGCAGGAAAAGGAGGCTTTGCCAGCAGGTCTGTCCGAACCCCTCTGACACTGAGACCCATCCTGGCTGCAAGCAGCGGCCTCAGAACCATCCAGAGAGCAGTGGGCTGACGTCTGCAAAGCGGCGGAGCAGAGCGTTTGGTGCAACATCTGGGCTCTTCGAGGACTGCAGACGTCCCGCTCAGCAGCCCAAGCCAGGGATCTCTAAGGCTCCGTCCACTCATCGAACACGTCTCAAGGAGGGCAGCGATGCCCCAGGCACAGCGGAGGCCCCGGGGATGCAGCAGAGACCCACCCGGCTGCGGGAGCTCCCGATCTGCAGAGGGAGACACAACAAGCGGTGACAGTCGAGGACAGTGAGAGTGCCCGCACCCAGTGCCGCCCTCCTTCCTGACACTTGCCCCTCGGTGCCTTCTTTCTGCCCCTGAGGCTCTCCCTCTGAGGGCTGCTGCTGCAGGAGCCCACGTGGGTGGGAACTGATGTCCTGACAAGCAGCCCCCCATAAGGGCCAGACGGAAGCCCCCCAAGGCCTGTTCCACACTGTCTCCCACAAGGAGAGACTGGGCCCAAGGTCCCACGGTGGTCACCTGCTGACTACCCACTAGGGTTGATGCCATGATCCTTCTCCTTCCCATCTCCCTTCCCTATCCTCCTGCCAGAGCTCCCTCCAGATAAACTGCTCTTCTCACACCCAGTCTCAGGATGGATTTCTGGAGGAATCCAGCATAAGGCCCTCTGTAATGCATAAAGTCATCAGGTGGTACCAAGTGGCCTGGAGAAGGTGGAGCTGGGCAAGGGTGGAGGTGGTTATGGAGGGAGACGGCAGTCAGAAGGAGCCCACAGAGGAGGTGGCATTGGAGCAGGTGCTCTAGAGGTGAGGAAGCAGCAGTGGACATCTGGGCGAAGAACAGGGAAGGGCAGAGCAAAGTTGAAGACCCAATGGGGAGCACCAGGCCTGTCCCAGGAAAAGCTATTATGGCAGGAGCCGGGGGAGCCCCAAGAAGAGATTAGGGGGCAGAAGGGACCAGGGGGAGCAGGACACTGTCCCCCATACAAAGGGCTCTGCACAGAGCAAGACCAGTAGATGGCAGTTCCTGTCAGAAGAGTAATGGGATCTGTCATCCATATCACAGACACAGAAGAGACTGCAGGGGGGTGCGAGGAGGAAGCAGAGAGACCGGGGAGGACTCTGTTATGACAGTCCTCCAAGAGATGACAGTCAGGGACCTCAAGGGGGGCAGGCAAGTAGACCATGTGGGCCTAGGGTAGAGGATGTGCTGATATAGATGGTGGGTATAAGGGAAAGAGAAGAGTTGAAGGGTGGGGGTCTCCAGAAGCAGAGACTAAGTGTTCTGGGGGATCAACACTTGTGTAGGGAAGTGGGGGAGGAGACCAGACAGGGCAAGAGATTGATCTTCCTTGCAGGCCCGACAAAGCCTCGGCAAAACCAGCGGGGAGCTCTGGAGTAAGTATGCCCAAACGTCCAGGCCTCTGTACTCCTGCCCCATGGAGTGACCAGGAGTGGACCATCCTGGGAAAGGAATGACCAGGAGCAAGAGGACTCCCAGCAGCTCAGACAGACGCTGAAGGAAACATCTTCTGCCCCATGTAATAATTTTACAAGAAAATCTAGGACGTTGCAACTACGATCTAGAGAGGTTGGGGAGATTTTACAAACCAAGATGGATTTTATAACTGAAAATATAAAAGGAAAAAAAAAAGACATACTGGAAATATAAAAATTTGGAATTTTTGTAGATAAAATGATGACAAAGTATATAAATCTGTAAAAGCACTTGTAAGTCAATAATAGACAAAGAGTTCAGTATACAAAAAACTGTTACAAACTGATAGGACAAAGAGGCAGTGGCCATAAATAGACAATTCACAGAAGAGTGTGCCCCAGCTCTGGAACTGCTGGAAATGCGGCCTGTAGAAATAAAAGTACTTCTATCTTGTAACATTTTACACAAAAATGCCACCGCAGTGTTGTTCTTAGTGGCCCCAAACCAGAAACAAAATAAACTACCATTGTAAAGAATAATTCAGGTCTATGCTAGATCAGTTGAAGATATTTCCATGAGGAATTGAGTGATAAAATCAAGATGCAGAAAAATGTTCATTACAGGTTTATATATTCTATTGACGTTTTTAAAGAACTAACTTTTGGGGGGATCCCTGGGTGGCGCAGCGGTTTGGCGCCTGCCTTTGGCCCAGAGCGCGATCTTGGAGACCCGGGATCAAATCCCACGTCGGGCTCCCGGTGCATGGAGCCTGCTTCTCCCTCTGCCTCTCTCTCTCTCTCTCTCTCTCTCTCTCTCTCTCTCTCTATCATAAATAAATAAATAAATAAATAAATAAATAAATAAATAAATAAATAAATAAATTATTAAAAAGAACTAACTTTTGGCTTTGTTAATTTTACCTATTAACTTAGCTTCTCTGTTTCATTAACTTCAGTTCCTTATCTTAATTCTACTTACCTCTACTTATCTACTGTACTTTGATGTTTTTTTCTAGCATCTTTTTCTTTATTTTTATTTTATTTTTTTCTAGCATCTTAATATGGAATCTTAGGTCACTGATTTTCTTCTTTAAAGTTATAAATGTTCCTCCTTGTACTGCTTTAGCTGCATTCCTCAAATTTCGATGGTTTTTTTTTCATTATCATTCAGTAAAACTTTTTTTTCATTCAGCAAAACTTATTTTTAATAAATTTGAGAAAAATACTGAGTCTATTTAGAATAAAACATAAAGCAAATAATCATTCAGTTGATAGATAAATGTGTCCAAAATTACAAGAAGAAAACGGAAGTTACTGAGGTTTGGGACATAATAGTGTTAAGATTAATTGGGAAAACCATTTTGCTTTAAAACTTGTTTAAAAGGTCAAAAACCAAGTAATTGCCACCTCTCAAGAGTAAAACTAGAAGTTAGTTGAGAATCCCAATTGAGATATAGGGATTTTGTTTGTTTTACACTGAGTTGGCCACCTCCTTATCTGCTTGCAGGAGCAAACTGCCCCCCATTATCCATACACCCCTTCTGAACCTCTGTTGTGTAGCAGGCACACGGCAGCTCAGAATTAGGATAACAGTTCCCAGCCTCCCTTGCTGTGATTTGCGGACAAATGAGCAAATGCTGTGGAGTGGAGTGTGAATACAGGTGAGGAATGTCCACGCCAGGCTTCACCCATAAAGGAAGAAGTGTACCTTACTTGTCTCCTTTTCCCTCTTCTCACTGCCAAAATACAGATATGGGGCATCTGGATCAAATGGATAGAGCCAATGGCCTAGGCATAGTTATGATCCCGTTCACATAATCTCTGGGCACAACCTCTGTCCTCCTCTTCACCGCTCCCCTAACCAGAGCAGAGCTCCCGGGGCCCCATCTTTCAGGGTGAACCTGCTCACATTTTCCAAAAAGACAGAGGGTTCGCTTCGTGGACCAGAACTGCCACACCAGCTCTGCTGTTCACATGAGGAGGAAATCAACCTGTATCTTGTGTCCCATTTAGCCATGGTCACAGTAGCCACAGCTAACTCATAACTAATTCAGAGCCCCCCAGAACTTGGATAAAGATCTATGGATCTTCTGATTCGAGCTCTCAAGACGTTCCCCACAAAAAAACAAACTTAGGGAAGGATAAGTAAGTAGGTTGTAGAGGCTTTAAACATAACCCGCTACAGAAATAGAAGGAGCTGATTTTATGGTTGGAAAAAATGAATCTTAGACAGATGAAATGAATCAGTCACCAAAGTTAGAAGCAAATTTTGCTACTAAAGTGTGCAGGTCAATATAAATTTACCCCAGGTGGCAAGTGACACACTCACTGTAGGCCATGTCCTGCCAGGAGATAGGCTGTGACCAGCCCCAAACTTGGTCTACACAGTTGGTTTTCAACATTAAAAATGAGAAGATTCCACAAGGTATGTGTATATCAAATCTTCACACTGTACACTAACTATTTTACCATTTTAGTTGTTAATTACACTTCAATGAAGCTGGAAGAAAAAAAAAGATTTGGCATAAACATCTAGATTTCCAGCTTCCTCTAAAAAATCAAACACACAGAAAACTGGATGTACTTTCCGTTAAGCAACTCATGACCTGAGCAAATCCCTGCTGCCCTTCGTGGGTGGGCCACGAGGCTGAGCTCACTACAGTCCTCCACCCTCTCTGTTGCCCCTCAGCAATGAACCTGAAAGTCATCACTGTTTATTATCTCTCAGGCTGCTGGGCCTTTTCTCCATCATAAAAACAAATCTCTCTACTCATCTCTGTACTAAAAACAACAGAACAAAAAGATAGATCAAGAAAGCCACGTGTTTTAACGAGACTGAGAATGCTTATTTCTTGGTGGAAATGAATTCCCCAGGTATTTACCGCACAGACGAAATACAATAGCACTGAAAACTGAAAAAAATACACTCAAACACACTTCCCGCACATACACCACCTCCCTGGCCTCTGTAAGCATGTGAGTTATGATCCCGTTCCTACAATCTCTGGGCACATCCTCCATCCTTCACTGCTCGCTCCCCTAACCAGAGCGGAGGGAGTTCCGGGGGCCCCCCCCATTCAGGGCGATTGCACTCACAGTTTCCAGATGACATCATCACTGCAGGAGCCAAGCCTCTATGTGGAGATGGTTTCTTTGACTCTTTGCTTTCCCCTCCTTGGACCCAGGAAGCAGCCCAAGCCATGTTTTGCTTCCCCAACATGTTAACGCAAACAGCCTGCCTCGCAAACTGGAGAGGCGCACGCTACCTTAATTACACGGTTGCTATTGAAACACCCGAGTGATAGACAAAACCCTTCATTTGGGAGGGAAATTAGTTGTACACAAACAAGAACACATTTCATCTTGAATTAAAATCTTCGACACTCCCTTGGCAAGAACTCTCTGGCAGTTTCTCTTCCTTTCTCCACTGCGTTACCTCTTCTCCTTCGTGGGAGATTTTCTTGGCAACGGGCCAGACTCTGAGCCCCCTCCCCGCCAGGCCTCTCCTGTAACCCCCTTCTGGTTCCTTCTCTGGCCTTTGTCGAGATCTCAGCTGCTCCCCAACCTTGAGCCTCCACCCGCCCTCCCAGCCCCAGCCCTTCCTGGACGGTGCCCCCCTCCCCCAGCCCCTAAGAGATGAAAGATGTCAACTTGGGGAGGACCTGCCTCCCTCCAGGCCCCGACCCTGGAGGTGAACGAGTGATTGGACGTGATGAATAACACTCAGCGAAGACTCGACGCAGGCAAAATGCTCGGTTTAGCCGAAACTCCCAGATTTATTGCCGAGCACCACAAATAATGAAATCATCAATCTTCCACTGACTTAAAAAGCGAATCCGCTGGGGCAAGTTTAAACTGGGCAGTGGGGGAAGAGCTCAGTGATTAGGACTCTAGGATCCCCCTGCCTGCCCCCCAACCTGCCAACCCGTCCCCGGCCCTGGGGACTGTGCTCACTAGGTGTGCCCCAGCCCTGAGGCCTGCTCTGAGCAGGAGAGGGGAGTCACCAACGCCCTGACCTGCCACCCACAGGGGTCTCATGGTCCCTGACCCCAAAACTCATGACCTCACTAAAGGACTCACACCCTCAGTCCCCTGGGGAGGAAAATAGGCTTCAGCCCCTACTTCCTCAGACACAGTCACACTTACCTGTTACTGACATAAAACAACTTAATTTTTGTCACTTGGCTGGGAACATCTCAATAACACTCTCCGTGAAATCTGGGACAGGCGTGCATTCAGGCTACCAGAATCTAGGACACTGTTTCAGAACTTTCTATCATCCTGAAGCCCCACCCATCAGGACAGGCACGCATCAGTCAGGGACCCAGCACGGGTAGCAGAGGACACCCCCACCTTATATCCACCATCCACAGGAGCCTAGGAAATGCAAGCAGTAGCTCTGGGGCTTCTGCAGCCAGGAAGCATCAGGACAGAAGTGGACGTGGAGGCTGAGTGCCTGCCCACCGTGCTCAGCACCCACTCACCCGGGCTGGAGTTTCTGCTGTTCCTGAAGCCGGGCCCAACTCACTCAGGTGCACCCCGGACCCTCAACCTCTCCAATCTGCATACACTGGGTACCAGCATCGATTGGGTCCTTATCCAGTCTTAGCATCCGGGCAGTGACCCCGACGATGGCCACGTGGCCAGGGGAGGAGGGAGGCTGGCTTCCTCCCAGCTCCCACTCCGAGGCCAGCAGCTCCCCTTCAGTGGGTTCCCAAACTGGAACTCAACAAAGATTCTCTTTAAGACTAAGAATTTGGGGGCTAAGCAGAAGTTTGAAAATGACAATCTGCATCACCCTCCAGACAGAAAAGCTGCTAAGTTACATCAACATGCGGTTCCTGCATCTTTGTGGTAGGGTCCCCACAAAGATGATTTTGGAGCCCTTAATATATGAACATTGTTTATTTCAATAGTACATAAGACTATTAGATGTGTATTAGAAAAAAGCTAGTACATCAAATCCGTAACTTCACTGATGCTATTGCCTATGATGAGTAAAAGGGGTCTTTTTTTCCCAAGTAAATTCATCTAAAAGAAAAATTTTCATAATACTAAAAGCAGTGTTATACAAATGATTACAATCACAAAGGTAGCGCAGGGATGCCTGAAGTTAGGGGAACTCTGTTGCAGTAGAAAAATCATGTCGACTTGGTGAATTTAAGGCGGTCAGCAATACCCCCAAAGGATATGGGAACCCATGGGCCTCCCTGCTTCCACACCCCATGGAAAGCTTCAAGTAATGGCTTTTGGTAAAGGCGGAATGATCATCATCTTCTCCCACTTTAAAAAAGGCAAGATATGGGGGCACCTGGGTGGCTCAGTGGTTGAGTGTCTGCCTTTGGCTCAGGTCATGATCCCGGGGTCCTGGGATCAAGTCCTGCATTAGGTTCCTTGCAGGGAGCCTGCTTCTCCCTCTGCCTATGTCTCTGCCTCTGTGTGTATGTGTGTGTCTGTCATGAATAAATGAATAAAAATCTTTATAAAAAATAAATAAAAAGGCAAGCTGTGGGATGCCTGGGAGGCTCTGTCACTAGTGAAGCATCTGCCTTGGGCTCAAATCAGGATCCCAGAGTCCTGGGATTGAGCCCCATGTTGGGTTCCCTGCTTAGTGGGGAGCCTGCTTCTCCCTCTCCCCCTGCTTCTCCCTCTGCTTGTGCTCTCTCTCTCTGTCAAATAAGTGAATAAAGATCTTTATTTATTTTTTATTTTTTTAAATAGACTTTTTTTTTTAAGATTTTGTTTATTTATTCATGAGAGACACAGAGAGAGACAGAGACACAGGCAGAGGGAGAAGCAGGCTCCATGCAGGGAGCCTGATGTGGGACTCAATCCTGGGCCCCCAGGATCATACCCTGGGATGAAGGCAGCACTAAACCGCTGGGCCACCGGGGCTGCCCCTGAATAAAATCTTTAATAAATAAATAGGCATGACAGAGTAAAACGATGCTTTCAATAGGAGTAAAAACAGGAAAGTCTGTGAGCAGGAGAACGCAGGCAGAACCAGGAGGCACAGCAAGGCAGCAAGGGATGCAGGGAGGTGGGAAGCTCTGAGCAGAGCAGAGGCTGGGGACCTGGTGAGGATGAGGTCGGGAATGTGGGACCATGATAAGAAAGCCTAAAGCTATTAATAGAATTAGGACTGCCCCCTGCCAAGAGACACACGAGGCATTTGAAACTGATAGAAGGAGCAGGGGATCAATAGAGTCAGTCGGCACTTGGCTTCCGAGAGACGGTGGGAACAATTCCACAGGAGAGGCCCTGACATTGCAGAAAGTCTAACTGAATTCTTTGCTCAGCTCTGTAGGGTGGGGAGGTTGAGGAAGTGGTTGTCAGAAATGAAAGATAACCAGAATATGCGGTCTTTTTAAGAGAGGCAGAACTTGTGTGCGTGCACGTGTAAATATACACAGAGTGAGCAGGAGCAAGAAAGATAAAGAAGTGGAGGAATGAGGGGAAAAAAGGAACCATTAGGCAGGGAATTAAACCGATTCTCTGTCTGATGGTGCAGCTGGACTTTCTCTGACACAATTAAGCTTGAGCAGCCACCTTCAGGCTGCCCCTTGGAGCTTGCCTGCCCTGAAGTAAAGCCACTGGCCTCTGTCCTAAGAGTCATCCTGAGAGTCGGTGTCCCCACCTCCCCAAGCCTGCTGCCTGCCTGGGGTGCCCCACCCCACTGCTCCATCAGGAATGCAGCCCCACACCCCTGCCACCTCCCTCCCCTGACCTCGGAGCCTCCCGAGCACTTCGTGAGACCTTGTCACAAGACAAACAGACACGGCTGTAGTAACGTTACATCCTGTACCAATTCTTCTCCACTCCTTCCCATCACCTCAAAGACAGCATCGTGATTTGCTGCTAATATGCCTCCAGCCCCTCCCTGGGCCTTGCTTGTCATCCTTTGGAACAAAGACAGAACAGGCCCCCGGGCTGCGGGCAGAATGCAGGCCCTCTGTTCAGGCTTGTTGTTTTAATTTCTATGGTTACCATCCTTTTCCAGCAAGCCGTGCTGCGTTTCCGTCCACTCTGCTGACACAGTTTTCTCTCAAGTGAAAGTTTTCGAGGGAAAACAAAAATGTGTTTATTTAAAGAAAATTATTGAGTGAATGGGGTCAGCAAACTGTGCCCCCCAGGCTGACTCCCTGCTTTTGTAAATCAGTTTCGTCAGCGCACAGATTCCTTCCTATATTGTCTGGCTGAGCTGCATTGGCCACACGATGGCCAAGTGGAGAAGCTGCAACAGAAACCAAGTGTCCCTAAAACCTGGAAGAGCTGCGGGTCTGGTGCTTGGCAGAAAATGTGCGCCCACCCCCTGGAGTAAAGGGTCTTCCTGCAAGTGTGTGGGTGTGGGAAAGGCGACACGGTAGCCTTCCAATGATTCAAACCGGGTAACCCTGAGCAATGGTGAGAAGCTTTGGCCCCAGGGTGAGACAGCACCCCGCAAACCCCAACCCCCATCAAGTCCCTTCCCCTCGCCTGTAAAATGGGGAAACAGGCCCTACCGCGTGGGGTCCCGATGCAGAGAAGTGAGCTCCTGCGGGAAGGGCGCAGGCCCCACGCTGGCCGGGAGCAGTCACGCAGGAAGTGGCCGTGATCATCATTAGGGGAGCAGTGGGGAGAAAACCCACCTTCACCAGCTGGGAGGAGAGCCGCTCAGAGGAGAGGAAGTTTCCTGTGTGGAAACCATCTCGAAAAGCCACTTAGCGTGGGCGGTGTGGTCCCCAGGCTGGAAGCGGACCACAGAGCAGTAGCTGGGAAGGCATACTCGGGGGGTGTGCGGCAGTTTGGGGGGAGCAGCTAGAAGGGACTTGGGGGTCCTAAGCTACACCTCCTGAGGCTGGAGTTGGCAGACATGGCCCAGGCCCCGGGGCAGCCAGAGAATCACCCACGTGGCCTGCGTCTGTGCCGCTGCATTGTCACTAGTAAAATGTGCGCGTCCCTGTGGCCTCTGGCCTGGAACCGGGGGAGGAGGGACCCGGCGGAGGAGGAGCAGCGGGGACTCCCCGCAGGAGCCACAGAAGCAGATGCAGAGGGAGTCAGCCCGCGGAGGCGGCAAGTGGGGGCTGAGGGCCCCCCACCCCCGACTCAGCCCCGATTCAAGGAGGCCCTGTGGACGGCCTCGGACTTCCCGGGGATGCGGACTCGAGCCCGGCCCCGGCCCCGCTGGCTCAGATGCTGGGGGCCCCGCAAGCCCGCCCCGCGTGTGCTCCCAACAACCTCACGGGGAAAGCAACAGGCGTGGGTCTGCGGTGCGGCCGGGCCCAGGACAGACAGACAGGCAGGGAGGGAGGGTGTCCCACATTCCCTGAGCTTCCACAGCCAGGTTGCCCGACCACGCG